CATTATACTCCTGTCCCCTCTAACACTTTAAAATCACTTTGATCTTAAAAATTGACCCATCGAAGTTCTTGTAGGCCAAACCAACATTGACTTGCCGCTTGGCTAGATGACGAGTCTTTCTCCTATAATTTGATAATACATATGTTCCCTAAAAGGCGGTGAAAGGATAAATTCTAGCAGACCTTCTTGTTGTGCATCTTTTCTCGCGGCTCGCCTCTCAATGTTAATCTACCTGATGAATAGATTATGCTCTTTCAAGGGAAAGAAAATATGCGAACCTTGGAGTTATATTTTGATGCACTGTTAATCAAAACGGCCGTACAATCTTCTTAAGTTTTGAGCAGGCGTTGGTCTTTTTTTGATAACATTCGATGGAGTTTGTTGAATATTTGAGAGTCAAAGTTAGGGAATTTATTTTAGGAAAATATTTTTAAGAATAAAACGAGAGATCGATTGTGATCTTCTTCTATGATTCTATTTTTATTTTAGGAAAACATTTTTAGGAGTAAAATGAGATATCAATTATGATCTTCACTTATGATTCTCTATTTCCTAATTTTAAGAAAGAATTATTCTTCTATGATTTCATTTCTAATCCAGTTTATTATGCACCTTTTTAGCATATATATGTTTGTAGATATAGTACTTTTTTTAAAAAATAAGAATAATCATTTAAGAAATTCTTCAGAGGTAGCATAAGATACCATTTAGCTTGACTTATATTTGCACCAATAATGAAGTTGAATTTGAAGTCTTAATAGTAAGTTTTATATAGCTATTTCAATAGGGATTCAAAATTTTAATTTGTTCATAAATCATGAGTTTACCTTTTATCATAAGTCAGTTTTTGAGCTTATGAAGAAAATTCAATATGTCACTTTAACTCGAATCTTTCAAGCTCAGAATAACAAGGCAAACACCAGCTAAATTGACCAAAGAAATGATAAATATGAATGATGAGCTTGTGTTGATTGGTGTCCAAACTCGTCGAGTTCTCAAACAAGTAAATATAAAACTCTACAGGTAGATGGGTCATCAAATTTAAGCCAACCTTATACAACATTCATTGTTTCTCACTGTTTGTCGTGAGCTATTTCCCAAAACCAAATAGAAGAGCTTTATACTATTCAAGGAGAACACATGCCTTTGATGACTTTATAACTATAACAATAGACCTTTATGATAGATGACCAAATCAACTAGAGATGATCTTTCATTGACCACTTTAAATAAGATAAATTACCAAAAAACAAATTTTATGCGTTACAAATAGAAAAAAGAGTTTTATGGTATGCTATTGTTAATAATACTCTTTATCGTAGATCATTCGATCAAATTTGGTTATGATATTTGGGTATTCAAAGGGAGGAGAAGGTCGTAGTTGAAGTTCATGAAGGATTTTATGGTGCACCCTATTTAGATCTCAAAAGGATAGTTAAAATTAAAAGAATTAGCTACTATTGGCCATTGATGTTTGACCATACCAAAAGGTGCAATGAATGTTAAATCTATGACTGTGTAATACACAACCTCCAAATCTATTACATCTAATGGTAGCATCCTACCCATTTGAATGTTGGGACACTGATATATTTTGGCCCATCAATTGACCATCATCTTTTGTATACCGCTTCAGCTTAATAACAACTTATTACTTTTCCAAATGAGTTGAATCCACGCCATTCAAAGAAGTTACTATCAAGAAATTTATCAATTTCCTTTCCCACAAAATTGTTTATAGACTTTGGTGTGCTATATCGTGTCATCTAAGAAATGATTTAGTTTTTAAAAGTATATAGCTGTAAAGATTTGTCAATCGACATAAAATTGATTGATTATAATTATAATTTATTGTTCAATAGAAAATGGTTTGGCGGAAGCTTTCTACATGACATGTATTAAGCTATTAAAAAAGATACTCATTAAGAATAAAAGAGAATGATATACAAAAATGATAGAAGTGTTATGGGTATACTGCCCTACTTATGAAATGCCAACTAAAGCTAATATTTAACATTTATAGTTAAAGTAATATTACTACTCGAGGTTGAGTAGTTTGAGTAGCTATTTAATTTAACCTCACTCAAGAGCAAATTGCTCGTTTGTTAATGAAAGAATTGATGTATTTAATGAGGTTAAAACCTAAGTTCAACAAAAATTTAAAATATGTTAAGCAAGGATGTCTACATTTTTTGTCTATTTGATGCATTTTTGTACATTCCAAAAGGGAGAATTAGTCATGGCACTGGGAAGACCAATTTTTTCTCGTTGAAAAATTGACGACAAATTTGAGGCTAATTGATAAAGCCTTTTCGCCATCAAGGAGACATATCAAGGAGGGGCCTATTAACTTATTATTCTGAAATATCAAAAACCCATGCCACCAATTAATGATCTGTATTTAAAAATATATTATGCATAACGACCTAATCAATAGATATTATGTATTAGATCCCATAAAATATAGGAAGCACGTTATTTTTATATTTCATTATATATGTCTAAATTTTTCTAAAACTCTCTTGTAACACAAGGAAGCATTTCTAAGTTACATAGAAGTTGTCCTATAAGACGAGGTATTTTTAAAATTTGATATTTTAGAATTTTTTATAACCCCTGTGAGATGGCATACATTTTAAATTTTCAATGTTGAAGATCACTAAAATTTTACTTCATGCCAACGTTAAAGACATGGGATATTTTTTAAATATTTATTTGGGTTGCCATCATGCTTCATGTCGAGATCCTTAGATGAATATTTAAAATCATTAACAGTAGTCTCATCTAATTGCCAAGAAAAAGGAATAATTTTATCAGCAACTATACTCAAAACAACTTTTAAAAGCATGAGGTTCTCTCCTTGGCTTACTAAGATCTTACTTCTCAAAGGAGGAGACTTTGAAGTCTACAAATCCTACTAGCCATGTTGGGAAAGCATAGGTTTTCCCATAGCTAAAGTCTTGGGCTTGAGTGGGTCTTGAAGGTCGGTCTCTTCTCGCTCAATTATGGCCGAATTGCTGACAAATTGAGATCTAAGCGAGTCTTGTTAACTCGTGAGCTAGCTTGGGTTCAATTCAATAAATGACTCGTGTGCTGAGCTTAGTGAGCTAACAAGTCAAGCTTGAGTCAATCTCGAATCGACTCGTTAGCTCGTAAGACGACTCGCTTTAAAAATATTAATGCAAAATACACTTAAGTATATTAACATTCAAAAGTTTAAGTATAAAATTGTTAAAAGTATTAAAAAATTATACATCACTTTTTTATATTAAGTGATTTCTTTTTTTTTTCCTAATTTCTTATTTTTGTCATTTTATTATAACAATTTTTGGAATTCAAATAAGTTTTTTTTTTTTTAAATATTAAATGAGCCATCTTGTGAGTTGATTCGAGTTTGTAGAATTGAGGTCGAGCTCAAGCTTTAACTCGATTAATTAATAAATCTCAAGTTCAAGCCAGAGCTGACTCGAGCTTGGCTTGACTTATTTTCATCCCTACCGATAGATTTCTAACTAAACAAGTTATAAGAAAGATCATAGTAAGTGGGTCCTTGTTTCATCCGTTTGATGGCAATAGCTATCAAATTCTAGGCTTATTTTGAATTGAAAATTTGACTAACTTGAGTCTAGAAGACTTTCTCAACTAGTTAACGAGGGAAGAAAAAGTCAAAGCGATGATCCTTAACTAAGAAAATGTCGATGCGGATCATAAAAAAATAAGGGAAAACTTTTCTAAATTGAATTCCATAAATAAATTCACTAACTTTGATGTCTAAATATTCAACAAATATCTACTGGCTAACCTTAATTGAAAGTTTTTCCTTTCTAGGGAAGAATAATTAACTATAGGGCTTGTACCTATGAGAAATCTTGAATCAAATCATAGCAAAATAAGGGAAAAATCTATTGGTAGTGTTTTGTTGGCAATCTAATCTATATTTAAAAAAAATTTCATGGAACTAAACTCTCTAAGTAGGGTTGGGCGCATTTTCGGATCCCACAGTGTGATCCAAATTACTTCAAGTCAAACTTATATATGCAAAATAATATTAATGATATTTAGAAATAATTGAAGTCTTAAGTGAAACCGATGGCTTGATTAGCTTGAGTTAGTTCGAGTGTCATCTAGATTAAGCTTCAATTTGCAAAAGTGTTTTTTTTTTTTTGAGTCTTGCATTATTGTATTTTTATGTGTAGAGCATGTTAAGATGATTTGCCCATACAAAATTAAAATTGAAAACTTATTAAATCAAGCCACAAGTAAAATTGAAAAATCAACAATCCTTTGTACTATCTGATCAATGATCTTGTTGTACATTTAGGTTTGATTTAAATTTGAATAAATCAAACAACTTGATTAGTTAAGTAATTATGTTACAAAACTAGATGAAATGATTTGGAAACAGATTTGCTTGGATTGTCACAAAACATGTTTGCTTGGAATGTCATTAAGGTTCTTAAGCCTACTAATCTCCAATCAAATTTGATTTGCCAAAAAGCAACACAAAATCTGGATTTTCTTTTAAAAAGAAGCTTTTAGAGGTTTCCCCCTTCTCCAACGGCCTTTGTTTGGCCTTTGCTCTATTACAGTAAATGAGGATGGGTTAATGCTGTGCGTTTCAATAAAATAAATTTTCCTTAAGCCACCACAACCATCCGTTATATGCAGCAGCTATTCCGTGCAGCTTTAGGTGAAAAGCAAATGCATGATATATTATTTACTTTAGGACAAATGAGTTATTTAATAAAATAATTATATATATATATATATATATATATATTTGCACACACAGATATCCAAATGGTTAATTTAAATGTAGAACCTTTAAAAATAATTTTTTTTTTTTTGCAATTAGAAAATTTGGAAGAAAGTTTTTAGTTATATTTTGATCTTATCTTTTTATGTTTTTGAGTATTACAAAATATTAGTGAATTATGTGAGAGATCTTGCATTACCCACTTCAATAATTGTCCTCACTTAATATTGCCACCCATTTGCAGGGACCTGCGCATTTGGAAAATCTCCATCCATGCTTCCTGCCACTTCCAAACCATGTTTGTCAGATACAATCTGGACCCAACTATGACTATTACTCATCCATTATGCGTTTTACAATTTCCTCGCCAGTGGTATGTTAGCAATTGTGTTTAAGACTGTTTCTTGCTTTAGATTAATAGTAAATGTTGGGTATGACATGCTTTCTTTAAAGTCATCCAGATGGTTTTAAGTTGTCAATGGCATGATCTGAGTTTCTTGCAGTTTTTACATAGCTCATGCATCATCTTATTAAATATGATTTACAGTTGCTTGAGCCTCAAGAACTTAACCAATTAAATACTTTGAGATGGGTAACTTCAGAATGATTTTTATTCCACTTAATCTTTAGCTTGGTGAGCATGTATCTTGATGGCTAAAGAATCTTGAATATTTCTCATGTTAAATGAATCAAATGCTCTTTTCATTAGGAAAAACCATCTATTTCTAAATGATGCAAATATCATATATTCTAAATTTGAATAGATTGAATTTAAATTATTTTATTTAATTGTTTGGTTGTGAATTTTGACTGATTTAATTAGCTAGTTGATTGGCTTTTTGAGCACTTGATGTAGGTCGTAAAATGAACTAGGATTCATGGATTGAAGACTCGTTCTTTCGGTGTAAGATAAAAATTCAGGAATAGAAATGATGGATTAAAGCAAATAAAGTTTTTTAGGAATTTAACTCACAAAAAATCAAGTCGATTGAAATTTTACACCACAGTTGAAAGTTGATTTGTAATTAATTTGATCAATATTAGGAATACTCGCTTTGATAAAAATGAATATTTACCGAAACATTAAGGAAAAATAGAAGAAAATATTGGCCTTGGTAGATGTGGGTAGATATATTCCCTATAGAATTGCTTTTAGTACTTGGAACGCATTCAAACGAACTCATCGTCCAACAAGCACCCAAAATTGAGGAGGGAAAATTAATAGTTTTATTGAACCAAATATTATTATTTTTACATGGCTCAACTTATCTATTTATTGATGCAAGCAAAACATTTGGGAGAGGGCCCCAAATTTTTGCTAACAAAAACAAAACCTTACTAATCTTTAAAAACATACATGGGATAAGAAAATACAACAAAGAAGAGACAACTTAGAAACTTTAAGACAAACTCTTACTTTTCAAAATATATAAAAAGAACACGTACAAACATAAAGAAACACTTACAACCTTCAAGACCAAACTTAAAACAACATAAAGATGATTTTCTTTCATTTAAAAGAATGATACAAATGGAAGGGATACTTGTGGGTAAAAGAAGGGATTAAAAGTCAAGACGAAGTATAGGAGTAACTCGCAAGTTATCCCAAGATAGAGAAGAAGAAGAAGTGGACAAAGCTCTCAAGCTTTTCCAAAAAAACCTCTCAGGTTTTTATCCAAAAATTATATTTTTACCACCCTTTTATCATCTCAAACATCTCCTGTTTATAGAGGAAAAGGGCAGCCAAATAGCCACCTAAAACATTAATTAAAACCTATTAGATTTAGGAAAATGAAAGACCAACAGCCATAACATATCAGACCCCAAACAACACAATAAAACAGAGAATAGAGGTCTCGGTAACCAAGCAGAAAAAGCCACGGAACCGAGCAGCCAGCCGCAGAACCAAGCAGCCAGTCGCAAGAGCCAAAGGGGCAAAGGCACGGGAAAAACTGCAAGCACAGAGAATCAAGTAGCCAACCACGGGAACCCAAGGGGCAAGGCACGGAGCACAGGAAAACAAAGCAGCTAGCTACGGGAACCCAAGGGGCAAGGCATGGAAAACAGCCAGCACAGGAAATCAAGCAGCTAGCTACGGGAACCCAAGGGGCAAGGCATGGAAAACAGCCAGCACAGGAAAACGAGAAGACAAAGGGTAGGTGAAGAGGCAAAGTCCACTACAAAATGAATTCAAGACTTAATAGCAAACCTTTTTGGATTAATGAGCTAGGAAGTGCAATTAATCCCCAATCATTGAGCTAAAACTTCAACTCAAGCATTTATGAGCTAACACCAAGTAGAATTCTAGCATTTTGAGCTCAATACCAAGCAACCAAGGCTCACCCGAGAACACCAGAAGCCCAAGGGTCAAAAAAATTCTCATCTTGTTTTGACCCCCCCCCCCCCCCCCCCCCCCCCCCTCCCCCGCCCACATCATTTATTGTCATCAATATCCAAAATTGGACCGCCCCTTTAAACTTAATTGGGTAGTATAATGCACGAAACCAATTGAACCCCCGAGATCAGTTCAAAGCTCAATAATAGCTGATATGATGAAAATAATGGAAATTGTGTGCTATCGGACGCATACAAATGCTACAAAGTGAGATGCAAGTTATGACAAAATTGCAGCCACGGGGATGACACATGCATTACAGGGAGAAACATAGGCTTTCTTAAAGTCGTAACTACTGTGTGCTGAGAGAACCACACATGTAAAGAAGCGATACTTAATTCTTCTAAGTGTTACATGAACCATAAAATAGTCAAAGTAGATTCTAAAATCAAAACAACGGCACCCTTGGACAAGGTACCATAAGCTATGATGGATATATGCAAACCTAGCTTCTAAGCCAATCCAAGTCTTAGAGGCAAATCAAACTATGTAATTTCATCATATTAGAGAGTACGACCTGATCTCATAGGCTACATCATCACATGGATGTCCTAATTAGTTGAAATTGAACATTGCAAGCTAAAATAAAAAATTGATACTATTTAATTTTGATTGGATCATTTATTTTCTTGATGCTTTAAATGAATGTAAACGTATAGATCTTTGTTAACTCTGCTTGATAAATTGAACTTCGACAAATTTATTATTTGGTTTTCATTAAGCAGATGAGTACATAAATTTTGTGCTTCTTACAAAGTAATTCATTAGTCATCACAAATAAACTCATCTTTTGTACTCGACTGAGTAGTGATAGAAATCTAAGTTGCTTAGGAGTTTAAAGAGAAGGTGTTTGATCTGAGCTACTACGGAATGAGATATGAAGAACTTATAATTATTGATACGTGCTAAAAACTTTGCTTCAGTAGAGTTGGTGTTTTATACCTTAGCTTTTGAAACAAATCCAACATGTCCTTTAAAATTTGCAGGAGATTAGAAAATTTTTATGTGAATAACCCAGAAAGAAAGAATTATGGGCCTAGACCAATTGAATAGTCCACTATATATTAAGCAGTACAAAAAATTTTTTTTTTTCTTATAAGACGATGTGATTATTTTAAAATAAATATGCGATTTCCCTTTTATTGATTGCATAAATGTGATGTCCACAAAAAAAAAGTAAAAACCAAACAAAAAAGTTAAATAATGACATAAGTTTGACGATAGCGGTTATTTGTGGTGGTTGTCGGCGATGATAGTTGGAAAATGTAAGAAAGGTCTTTAGTTTTCTCAGCTCTTGAAGCTCCCCCCTTTGTAGAGAGTTGAGCCTTATTTATAGGCTTTTTGAGATGCACATTTTGATCCCCTTAATCATAGATTGTTTATTAAACATTCAAATACCTTAATGATATTATAATTGAGTGATCACGAGGTCGTTAGATTCGTCTCATCGAGCGTCCCGGCTTGACAATAAGAATGCTATAATTGGTGGTCATTTGGTTCTTCAATCAATGTTCAAAAGTTTTCAAATGTTATTTAAGTGTTTGATTTGAGCTCATTTGGAGTTGGATCAAATAATTTCTAGTATCATTAGGTTTGTCTCATTGAGACATTCAGTTCGACTAGAAGTTTATTGAAATCAGAGTTTGAATGATCCTGAATTTAATTTCAAAAATTTCTAATTCATGCATATCAATTATAAAGAGAAACAAACAAACAAACAACCACACCTAAAATTTAAAGTGGTTCGGCAAAGGTTTCTACATCCATTATGAGATTAGTCTTCCCATGTTATTCTATTAATAATAGTGAATTAGCTTCCACGATGATTCCAGAGAAATAGTGAAAAAGGGTTGTGTAGAACTACGTATGGATGCAGTGATCTTGGAAGATTTTGCACAACTTTAGATTAGAGAGTAGTGAAGAAAACTACTAGTATTTTAAGACAACGAAATAAAACGTAAGAGGGGTCACGCTCGCTTAGACAAAGTCACATAACCAGAGATTTGAAACTCTAAAATAAATTAGAAAACAACATCATGCCAAAATAGTACTTTCAAAAAAAAAAAAAAATTAGTCTAACAATGAGATTAGCAAACACATGAATATGCTCAAAATTTTGAAATAACCATTCATTAACTTCAAAAGAAAATAAGGAGGGCTATATAAAACCTCATACAAAGGACTCAAAGACAAAAGACACTAAAGCCCCTTGGGCTTACATATGACATCCCTTTACTAGAAGGGTACAATGGAAAATAAAATAAAATAAAGCAAATACAACGACACATAAATAAGACAATACATAACATGAATCAAAATTACAATGACTTGATCGTGACCGTCGATCGGCGGCCATGCCTCTGATAAACTTTCCAAGATCTTATGTCCCCATCAAAGGGGATGTGGGAAGAGATGAACTTCTAGTGTTTAGGAAGTTGTGGGATGGGGGAGGGGACCCTTATTGAATCGAGAGTTGTAGTGAGTAGAGTGCATGTGTCAAGTGTGGAGGATAGTGAAGTGTTATATTATAAAGCCCAATTTTTGCCTTATGAAGAAGATATATTATGCACACTTGGTTGTAGGTCTACCTTTGTGGTAAAATTGCTATAATGGTTGGAAGGGGGAGATATCTCCAAGCGGTTTTGGGGCAGAGCCTTTGAAATGTATCCATTATTTACTTTTGTTTCATTAAGAGCCTTTTTAGAAATTTTATTACATTTTTTTAGCTCTAAAAAATCTCTTTGTAAAGAAGCAGGACATCTTATGTTGTATAAGAGGAATTAGGATTGTTATTCTCCACAATTGATTCAAACAATGATGAAAACATGACATTGTCATCAATTGGGTGAACTTCTATAAAATTCTTGTGTTGATCTTTTTTTGTTTTTTGTTATTCTTTTTTTGCTCTTTGTGTTTGCGTAGTTTTTGTTATTTCCCAAGTTTTGGTATTAGACATTTTGGTTATGATTGAGAGTGATGACCGGAGAAAAAGGATCAATACTTAGGATCACCAAGTTTGATGGATTGGTGATGCAATAGCTATAATGGTGTTGTGGGGGGTGGAATTTGATAGTAGCTATTTTTATTTGGTGAGAGGGAATGTTGTAGTTTGCATTGGAAGTGATTTGAGTATTAATGGACTTTTGGGAGGTTGAGCATCAAATGATGATTGAGAGCCATGTGGGAATTTGAGTTAGTTTTGGAAAGTTGATATAATGTGGAGTGTAAAGGGTGTTAAGTTGAGATTTAGGAAGAGTATGGATACTTTTTGGAAAGCTTAGGATGTTAGGAATAAGAGTGCGTTTGGGACGGCTACAGCTGTCGATAAAGTTTACAAAATTATTGTACATAAAGCTGCTTTCAAAAATTGATGCACAAAAAGCAGTACATTTTGTTTGAGAAGTATAATTGTCAAGTTGCTGTGCTGCAGCTGTATAGGAATAAATTACTTTTATATCCTTATATATTGAGATGAAAAAAAATGATGTAAATGTTAAAATTTTAAAAAATATTATATGCTAATAATCTAAGCATTCTAAATAAAAAATTGTATCAATTTTTATGAAATATTTTATACCTATTAAATACCATAATATAATTTTTTTATAATGTATTATCATATTTCCCATCAAGAACGCCCTGAAAATTATTGATACACTACTACGAGTCCCAATACTTTCTAGGCGCAGCAGTGAAACTTCAGCAACATGGAAAGGCTGGCTCAGAAAATGCTGGATCTTACGAGCACTAGCAACAGTAAGCTTATAATCTTCACTGAAATCATCCATTTTGATAAACAACCTAATCATGTATTGCACAAGTAAGAAATGTTAATCGAAATAGATTTATATCGGAATAGTAGAATTCACAATTAATCAGGTAAGGATCTTCCTTGCAATAATTCCAAGGGACATCTTATCCAAAAGAGGAAAACATTAGCTCCGGTGAGAGATCGAAGCTCTATGAGCAGACAGCCTAAGGGTGTAAACATCCTTACATGACTGAACATGGAAGATAAATGAACAAGGAATTTTAGGGCATCGATTCCGTCCTTACTTGGAGTCCTCGAGCTTGCCACTGCCGAAGCCTCTCTCGCTCGCCTACCTACTATGCTCCTCCCGTTCGTCTCTTCCTCTCTTAGATCTCCCGTCTGCTCGCCCTCTCTTTCACTCTATCCGGCTCTAGAGCACGCCGTTTTCGTCCATGTAGAAGCACGATCGTAATCACAAGTGCAAATTCGGGCGGCTGCAGTTTCTCCTTTTTTTCATTTAGGAATGAGCATGAGGAGGATGACGGTGGTAGTCGGAAGCGGTGCTGAAGGCTTCGGACGACGGTAGCGAATATTTGCAGCGGGATTTACGTCATTTTTCTGTTGCAAGCAGCAGACCGCGGGAGATAGCGAATGGTCGCGGGAAGCAACTAGGTGCCGTGAATTTTTTTTGCCGTGGCTTTACCGCAATGTCCCAAACGATGAATTAATAACTTGTATAAAGTAAACAACAGTATCGCCGTCCCAAAAGCACCCTAAGACTAAAGAGTTATTTTGGGTGTTTATATGGAGATTTTGTGTGAAGGTAAAGGAAAACTGACTGTTTGGTATTTGAAGATTTTGAGTGGTGTTAATATTTCACGGATAACTTGCACTGAGAGTGTAATGAGTTAAGAGTGCAACTCTGAATCAAAAGGACGAGTGAAAGAGAAATATATCAAAGAAAATAAATAAAATGCTAACATCAAGAAGGATACAAAAACCTCTCACCAAAGAGGGTGATCAAAGACACGAAGCTAGCATCAATGTAGTTGTCACCAAACAAACTTGCAAGGAAGGAGATACTTCTCCAAATTTGATTTAAGCTCATCAAAGTTTGTTTAATTGCAGCATTTTTGATCTTTATAAGCATTACAAATCACTGAGAAATTAAAATATCATAAGAATACCCTGGGGTGGCTGTTCACTTAATGAAAATGCTTTGAAGCTAGTTTCAAGCATCAATACCTCTCCATTGAAACTCAAGGGATGTTGACTTATTGATTTTTTTAGCTCATTGGACGATGTAACGTCATTTTGTAGTTTTCATAAAACCATATCAGAGACTGATCAAGCTTGCATGTGTTAGACTTTTGATGAGGTGACAAAATGACTCAAGTTTTTCTTGGACTAAAGCCTAACTCACATGATACTTAATATGTTTGATGTTTTTACATTGCCACTTCAATATAACTCAGTAAAATTATATCATTAAAAGTATTAAATGCAACAATAAAATAATATCTGATTTTCAGTACTTTTAAACATCAACATAAATGTCTTGAGTGTAGGTTTCTCTTTTGGCTGAGACTCTGAACCTGAACTTGTATCTAATTGCATGTTAGCTGATAAAGATTCTGTAACTTCCATACAGTCAGTTTGTCTTTTGCATATCTAAACTCGAGTGTTATATGATAAATTTGTTGTCCTTAACTTCATATAATGTAGTGTTCTTTTTGCTTGCTTTAACAGATGCCTGATGCTATAGTTGACTACAACTTACTAAATGGAAATTGGAACATAGTCCAGCAACAAAATGTGCTTCTTGAAAGATCAAAAACATTATATGGTTTTGCTTCTTCTGTAAGTACGAAACCTCAGAACTCAAAGGGCTTCCATGTTGCAGATGATGCTGAAAGTTCAAATGGAACATGGAATGAGCTGACTGAGTTTTATGCTTGTGAGTATTATGATGTTTCTTCAGGGGATGGCGTCATGGTTCCACTGACAGTTGTATATTCACGGAGGCACAAGCAAGAGGGTAGTCCTGCATTACTTCATGGACACGGGGCTTATGGCGAGTTATTAGACAAGCGCTGGAGAAGTGAGCTAAAGAGTCTTCTTGATCGGGGTTGGGTGGTTGCATACGCCGATGTTAGGTAATTTGAGGTCTATTAGCTTTGTAAAATATGTTCACATTCGACATTAGAGCATTTTTATGATTATAAAACCTTTGTGTCACTTGTTACCCCTGTTGAAACTCAATTTTGATTTTGTTTCTTGACATCTTACTTTTTTATAACATTGCAACTTCCAATCTATCATTGTTAGTGAGCACCTTATGAATATTTTTCATTTGTAAATTTAGCCGTTTTGGTGTTTTTTTAGGATTGGGTGAACAACTTGCTTTTCTTTGTTTTGTAACTATTTTAACTTATCAGCTATTGTGAAGTTGTGATGTAATGTGGCTCTATAACCCTGGCAACTCCACAATATTCTCTTGTATTTTTTTTTTCAAGTTACAAGTGCTTTTTCTTCACTTATTTCAACTGAATTTAATTCAGTTAATTTCAAACATGTAAGGAGATTATTTACCGAACCTCGGTGAAAATAAGCCTAATTTACGTCAGGCATTAAATAATGAAGGATATCTAAAATGAGCCAACATGTTCAACTCATGTTTTATTATTTCTGCTGTTTTGGAAAGGAAAATGAAAAGAACAATTGATGCCTTCTGAAAGGATGCTTTTCCTGCTATGTGATTTTATCTTCTCGTTTTTCCTTTGTTTTGAACACTAAGCTCTTTTTCCTTTCAGTTGATTTTTTTTTTTGAAAGTCCTTCCAATTGTTTTGTTGTCTAATAGGCTTTTTATGGTTTAGAGGTGGTGGTGGTTGTGGTAGAAAGTGGCATCATGATGGAATGCGTCTGAAGAAGCAAAATTCTATGATGGATTACATTTCATGTTCAGAGTTTCTTATAGAAAAGGGTATTGCTCATAAAGATAAGCTTGCTGGGTGGGGATATAGTGCTGGTGGTCTACTAGTTGCTTCAGCAATCAATGCTCGTCCAGACTTATTTCGGGCGGCAATTTTGAAGGTGCAAATCATCTTTGACCCTTAATGTTATTGCATGCAATAAGCTTTCTTATCAATGAATCAAATTCCACTTGGGTAGTTCCGTACTTGTACTATAATATCATAGTACAACAAGGCACACCTTTTGGACTATTTCATAGTGACATGTGCAATGGCAAAATGGCACGCACCGTTTTTTTTAAATTGATTTTCTTAAATTTTTTAAGGGAATCAAGCATGATTTTTTTTATTTATGAGGTATGATAGTACTTTGATTGGAGTCTCAATTTTTTTACTAACACAGATGATGCTAATAGTGGTTAACAGGGAAAATGAATGTTAAGTTGGATTAAAAGTATAAATTAGTGTTCGATGAGCAAAAGTTGATACAGAGTATGTTGTGAGAGCTAGTGGCATCTTTGAGGAATTACAACATTCAAGATTGTTCTAAATGAAAATGAAATGAGTCTTCAGATAGGTCTAACACATTTATAGTTGAATAAGGGAATGATGAGGGTGATAAGGAAGGTTATAGTTTGGGAGATAATGATGCAGGAGTTAAGGCTATTTTTATTTATGCTGATGGTGATGATTCTCAATAGGACTAGTTTAATTTTTTCTGAATATGAAAGCAAACAATTTCTTATATTTTGAGCACAACTTTCTAAGTTTAATGTTTTGTTCTTATATCATGTATTATTATAACCATGATTATTTTTTTATTGTAAATTTAATTATATTATTTGTCATGATACTTTACTTTTTAGTATGGTTATCTTTCATTAATCTTTATGTTTATTAAAGTGAGCTTTTATTTTATGTATATGACATTACTTTTGAACAACTGGAGACATTGAATTAATATTTCTATTTAGATTACCAATTTTTTATTAGATGCTAATCATGTGGGTCTTTACCACAACCTTTTCATCTCCCTCAACTCTCATTTCTTATACAAAGAACCATCTTCTTCTGCCAAGAAAAGTGGTGCATTAAAGAAACAAGAATATCTCTTTTAAAGAAAAATATTGAAGATCAGGCTAGGTATTAATCCTTAGAGATCAAAGATATGGAGATCTGTGTATTGGATTAATAATCCTCCAAAATGGGTGCAATAAATAAATTGAAAGAGAGAAGTTGTTTTGTTGGGCAATGTGCTGGGTCGATTCTTAATCTCCTAATGAATAAAAAAGATACCATTTATGTAGTTCAAAATAATTAGATTACTACCAGTGAACTTGCATTATTTGCCCTAGCATTCAAAGGTTTAATTATATTCAAACCAATAGTAGAAAACCTATCTAGAAATAAGACATTCAAGTAGGAAACAATACTAGTGATCACGAGACTGTGCTGGGCATGGAGATAATGATGAGGAGGTCTTGTTATAGTAGAAATTTTAGTCAATTCAACCGAAAGGGGTGGGGGGTGCTATTGCTAACAACTAAAGCACAATCAAAGGAGATATTCATGCTTTAACAAGCTACATTACACTAAGGTGAAGCACGCTAGTATTGAAACAAATACCCCAGCATTGTATTAAGTGAAGCATCACTAAAAGAGGAAAATTTCATGTTCTTCGATTCTGAGATAAACTATTGAGCACAACCATCTTTAAACATTAAGAGGCTGACGTCTTTCAAATGTAAACTTGCAATCTGATACACGGAGGAAGAGATTGATAATCTTTCTGTTCCTTTTAAGCTCTTATTGATAAGAAAGTTATTCTATGGACTTCCTAAGATGTTGGACATGTGACAATTTTTTAATTGACTTATTTGATGCGTTCATGCAATGTAGGATTGCTTGGCCATAATCACATATTTATTAGATATCATGATAGGGAATATTACCCAAGAATTTTCCCCCAAAATCCTATTATATTAATGGGATTCAAATGAGATTTTTAAAGTAGACCCCTTTTTCTTCAAATATTGAATTTCCCATTACTCATATGATTCTCTTCCCCTAAATTTAGTGAGTTCTCTTTAAGAACCATTGCACCCTTTTTCCATTAACTTCTATTTATGTTGTGGTTTTCAAATGCTACAATTTCTAGTTTATATAGGCCCTCAGCTACTAGGGTATTGGTTGAATTTAATGTCATTGAAACATTTGAGAAAGCGCCTGTAAATGATTAATTGAAAAAAATTTACACCCTTTTGAGGAAACCCTCTTTTTTATGCATTTATATTTAATATTTAACTGATGTGGAAAAACCATCACGATAGGATATGAATTTTAAATAACATATATCTATTTTCTTCTTGTTGACTCCGTTCAATTGATAGTTGAGCCTGTAAATAATAAACCCAAGAATATGGAGCTGTAGTATGAAACATGAACCAAATCATTTTTAATCTACTGAGTGTGCCGTATATTGTTAACCAAATAATGCACACCATCCTTTATTGCCTGAATTGGAGGGTTGAGGTTAGTGTAGCTCCAAATAGTGGTATTGTACTACAATTGGTACAATGGCATAAGATGAACTAAGCACTGGAAAATAATCATATAGTTTTTAAATATTATTGCTTGTTTAGAGGAGAATTTTCACAAAAAGGATTTGGTGAATTGACAATCTAGAGCTTTGTATACTAGATTACTCATGCCCCATAAGTTGCTACTTTTTTGTGATTTCTTTTCATTGAATTTCTATAGTGAGACCAAATCCAAATGAGAAGAATTGAATGCTAGTATTAGTTTGAAGCATATTGTAAATCCTACGTCAAAATTAATAGAAAATCCTAAGCTAAAATTTGATGATATATTTATTATCTTCGAGTGATTTTGTCGCAGTTGCTATGTGACCTTTTAATCTTCTCATTGCAATTTTTAGAATCATAGTGCGAGGAAGATGATTGATGTAGCTGTTGAAGTTGGAGGAATTAACTGTCTGATGAGCACGATCTCCTTCACTTTCTCATCTACCATTCCTCTATGTTAGTGGCATTTTCATGTGGTTCATCCTCCACCATCATGACTTCAAGACTTTGTGACAGTTTTGTTCTATCTATCTATATTTGAATGTAATGCTTATGAGCATTGTAAATATTATTAAGTGTATTCCTTCATTGACATCAAGTCCATTCTGATTTTTTGGTCATAATCCTATTTTTATCCATTTAGATTTTAGGTATTTTATTTTCTATCATTGATGATCATTCTCTTTTTACCTGAGTATATTTTTGAATTGTGGGTTTGAGGTTTTATCCGCCTTTCATAATTTTTATTAAGAAATAAAAGTTTAGTTTTCTTTTATAATTGAAATTCTTTGTATTGATAATGATATTGAATATGCATTCTCATTTTTGCTCGTATATTGACAATGGCATGATTCATCAAACTTCCTATCCTCATACATCTCAATAGAATAGGGTTGTTGAGTGCAAGCATAGCCATCTTCTTTGCGTTGATTGTATTATGATGTATCATAGGAAGTTCCTTATCATTTTTGGGTGTTATTTAAGTGTATGCTATCTTATTAATCATCCCCCTTTTATAGTTCTTGGGGAAGTTTCACCTGTTTGTATTCTCTATCTAGTTGAATCTTTGTTCTCTCTCCACCCACATATTTTTTGTTTGCTTTATGCATTCTTTTCATATAGGCGACAAGCTTTCTTACTTGTATCTTTCTAGCTTGCTCTTATTCTTAGAAAGACTATTATTATTTTGAACCGCTCACCAAACACACCTATAGTTACATATATTTGACCTTTCATGAGTCCATTGAGTTATTTTTCTCCTTTTTGTGAAGCATCCTCATCACTTGGTCTTCTTGTTTCGATGACGCGTATAACTACTTTTAAGGTTTACACTTGATAACTTCTTCTCCTCTTGCAATGCCTTGTCCTCCCATGTGTCGCAACTAGTCAAGCATCCACTTCCCAATCAGTTATTAGATCTCCACTTGCTCATTACCATTCAGAAAAATGCCTGTTTGTATTCTCTCTATCACTTGTCTTAGGAAATTTTCTTATTTTGGCTAATGATTCATGTTTATTTGGTGGTCCATATTGTATTCTTTCTCATATTATAGTGTAGCTCCTCCTGAAATTAAAAGAAAAAATAAAGGTTTCACTCTCAACTGTACTCATGCTATTTAACTCAGACGATTCTAGCAAATTTCAAAAAATATGCATTAAAATGTTAATTAATTGAACAATGTTCCCTGATGGCAGCTAAATATTTGCTTCGGTCCAGGCAATGGTGCTTTTTCATATATTATTTCGTTACACCTCAACAATTCATCTTAACTTGCTTTTCAAACTTCAATTCCTGGTTTTAACTTGCTGAATTTATTTGTTTCCACATGTCCATATGTAGGCTCCTTTCCTAGATGCAGTAAACACCCTTCTCTATCCTATTTTGCCTCTCAACCCAGTTGATTATGAAGAGTTTGGCTATCCTTTGGACCTTGAAGATTTGCTTGCTATTAGAAAATACTCTCCTTATGAAAATATTAAGAAGGATGCCCTTTATCCATCTGTGCTGGTGACTTCATCTTTTAATACAAGGTATATTAATTTCTCTTTTTGAGTAAATTATCTTGTTATTGCTTTTGTATATTTTTCTTAGAGACAGCTTTTGCATTGGAAATTTGTTTATCGTACATTTTAATTTAATTTCCTCAACTTTATTGATGATCATTGGTGCACATTTTGAGATGTCCGTCATCACAATAATAGATTACACAGTTCTCTATTCCATGCCACTTAAATGAAATTTCAATTGTATGATATCTTTATTGAATGTTTTTGCTTGTTTACATGAAAGTGGAAAACTAGTAAAATAAAATTGAGAAGCTTTTTGATAAAGGATGTTCAAGAGCTAGGTTTTTTTATGTAAATCTATCATACAAAGTATGTTTAGATCCAATCAAATGATGAATGAACAGCAACTTACGATATAAAGAAAGCTATTAATATCAAAACAACTATTTACTAAATAAAAATTATAGATGTATTTCCATTAAAGTGAAAGATTTTTAATTTCTTACACAAATCAGCAACGAGAAATTAAAGATCGTGACAGTCATGAAAATGGTTGAAATTTAGTTCATATCAGGTACAAGATTAAAGTAAAGTTAAAAAAGAATAATTTCTTTAGGATATGTAACAAATTTATATTATTACAGTCTAAGGTGATCACCATTGAGCGTAAAATAAATTTATGAATTTTTTGGCGTAGGAAATTCTAGGATCTAGGATTCCTAATGCATATCTATTAAGCAATGCAGATTTATCAACCGATAAAAAAGTATGCAACTCAAGTAAAAATCAAAGTATTATTTTCAAAACAATTATCTAATTGTTAACATCCAGTTTGAATTAAAAGATTTGAATTTCTTACAGAATTTAGAAATAGAAAATCAAAGACTATGCCATGCAAGCGATTGAAATTTCATGCATAGAAAAGAAAATAGATTGTAGCAGATTGAAAGAAATGGAACGGATTTATGAGATTAGTTCGACTTTTGGAAGACCTTGCATCATCATGGAATCTCGATTATATATATATATATATATATATATATACATCTCAAATTTTTTGGAATATTTTAAGTATTACAATTGATCAAATATTAGGAAGGAAAAGAAAAAGATTTGCACATAAAAATAGGTTTTATTTAAGCAATATATGCTTCTTTATGTCTAAGTCTTAAAGAATACCTATTTATAATCCTCATGTAACATCAAATATGAAAAAGAATATAACCGTCAAAGAAGAAACCATAGAACATATTGACAAAACCATAAGAAGCCTGTAAAATATGAACAACTGTCGGAGTAGCCCACAGGGATAATTCACAGCATATCTCATATGGACATTGATATGGATGTTACCTATAAATAGGAAATAGAATCCATGTAATAAGACTTCCTTAGCAATAGGAATTAAAGTAGCTAAACCACTTCACTAGTAGCGATGTAGTCATTTCATCAATTCTAATGAAATTTGAAAATTCAACTAGGATGATTTGTTTAGTTGATATGCTGTTGGATCTTGAGAGGAAGAGAAACTTTGATCTTTCAGCTTCTTGAAGAGAGGGAAACGGAAATAAAAAACAGAACAGAGATTTCTAATATTGAATGACATGAAACTATTACAAGCTAAGCACTTATTTAAAGACAACCTAGGCAATAGGAAAAGCAACACAAGAAAAGAAACTACAAGAAAGTACTAAAGAAGCAATCCTAAAAAATCTGGAATAATATCTAACAATCTTCCGCTTAGTCCAGATTTTACAAAACATTTGAATCAGTTCAACCTTCTCCCAAATCTACTGCTACTGCTAAGCTGATTTCTGGTTCATCTTCTTGCAGTTTTTCCAAATTAGGACTATCTCTTAAAGTGCCCTTCCTTGTGACAAAGAAGGCACTTCTTGACGGAACTGTTCCTACGGAATCCTGATCTTCCTCTAGCGATCAGAATGTTGCCACTATTATATTCTTTCTGTTCGAATTTTCTTTGAACATCTTTTGACATTAAGACATACTTTACCTCTGTAAATGTCAAAGTTTGCTTCCCATACAACATAGTGTCAACTATGTTTTCATATGTCTTCGACAGAGAGCTGAGGAGTATGATCCCTTGATCTTCTTCGTCTATTTTTACATCAACATTTCTAAGGTCAAGAATCAATTTATTGAAATCATCGAAATGCTTTCTAAGTTCCTGGGTTTTTTCCATTTGGAGAGTATATAATTGTTTCTTCAACAATAGTCGATTAGTAAGGGTTTTTTTTCATATAAATTGATTCAAGCTTCCTCCATACCTCTAATGCCGTGTCTTCTTCAGCAACCTCCCTTAACACTTCGTCACCGAGAGAGAATAATCATACTGTGCGCTTTCAATTGTATTTCTCTAGCCTTGACCCTATCGGTGATTGCTGCGAAATTTTCTTCAAAGATTGCATCGGAAAGTCCTTGATGAACCAATAGAGCCTTCATCTTGATCCGCCAAAGGCTGAAATCGCTCTCCCCCTTGAACTTGTCAATCTCGAACCTTTGCATCGACATGATGATGTAGAATCAATACTCTAGTAAAACAACTCCTCTGTGCGATTTGCTCCTCACCTACAGAATACTTTGGCTTTCTTGGTGTTTCTTGCATGTAGCTTAACGACTCAAATAGTCGTTAACTCAGCCACGCCTCACCTCCGGCGAACCCCGAGCAGTCTCCTCCCGTGCGGTCTCAGCGCCCAGCCGCTCCACACGCTGTTTCAGCGCCCCGCACGCCTCACGTCGCCTTCTTGCACCACGCTCGCAGCCAGCCCGTGTCCGGCCGGCCTCCCGTGTGCAGCTTCCCGTGTGCCTGTTGTCCCATGAGTTTCTTAAGCCCACACAACACAGCATGGTCTTCTTGTTCGTGCCTCTGCCTTCGCCAAAACTACCGCCTCCAGCGATTCTACGAGCTCCGTCGCTGTGTGTTTTCCACGCGAACGTCTGCTCCAGGCCCGACTCGAGCTTTGAGCCCCTTCGCTCAACCAGCGAACCCGACCAAGATCTTGCACGGTCGCTTACCTCCGCGGCTCCACCTGCTTACCCGAGCCAATGTTCAGCTCGCATACGAGCTCTGCTTCGCCCGACGCCTTCCTCCCGCTTGGATTCCGGCAAGACAACCCTCTTCCTTAAATGCAAGAACTTCCTCCACCTCCCAGCTCTGATACCAGATTGTTGGATCTTGAGAGGAAGAGAATCCTGATCTTTCAGCTTCTTGAAGAGAGGGAAACAGAAATGAAAAACATAACATAGATTTCTAATATTGAATGGCATGAAACTATTACAGGCTAAGCACTTATTTAAAGACAATCTAGGCAATAGGAAAAGCAACAGAAGAAAAGAAACTACAAGAAAGTACTAAAGAAGCAATCCTAAAAAATCTGGAATAATATCTAACATATGCTTTCAAATATATCCAGGCAAAAATGTCAGGTTTCCTATAAAGATATTTAAGAATTATCATTATGTGAGTTTGCCTTTCATTCCATGACATAAATACCGTTGGTATCTGCTGTATGTAATGGGCATGGTTTCCTTTACATTAGTAGCATTATGAAATAGATTGGTATGCAGCTGAAAAATATACAAATTTTGTATTGGAAACAACTGGCTTAGCCAATCCATGGAGCTCCCACCAATGCAAGGCCGAGGGAGGGATTGATGTAGAAAACTTTATCCCTACATTCGTAGAAATGTTTCCTTAATTGGAGATGGAACTATAATAATTGGAAAAAGATATGATACATACTAAAATACTTACATATTTTCAAATTACTAATTCTTAGAGGAGATATTGAATAAAAGGTAAATTGATATTAATTTTATTCTGTAAAGTTCTCTTGATAACTAGCAAATTACACAAATATATTTTATTTAAATAAGAAATTCTTACCATATGGAAAATAGCCTCTCTGAAGAAAAGCAATCCAAATAGTATAAGGATTAATTTTGATGAAGTAATTATCCTTAAATTCAGCCAGATTGATAGAATAATTTTTCAAGTTTGCTTGAGGCAATTGTTATTAGTAAAATCATGTTGTGCAATTTAATTTTTTTCATTATGTTCCTTTTACGAAAAAGTAAGTAAAAAATCAGTAACCAAAAATAAAATCACTATTAGCTTAATTCAAAGGTGTGCATATAATTTTAGCAAATAGCTCATTATCTAATTATTTGATTAATTTATTAACTTCTACATGTTTAATTTGTTTAATTTTAAAATTTTGGCAAACTCTAATTGAGATTTAGATTCATAAACAATCTCATGTTCAAATTTTGATTATTGTTCAATTTTAATAAAATCAATGTCGAATCATTTTGTAAGTGTAAATAGTTTTTTTCATGTAATTTATCATTTAAAGAATATTAATAAACTACATTTTTTTCAATATGAATAGATTTAGGGAGAATAAGGAAGAAGCTTCGTTTAAGATCTTTTAATGGGTAGATGGAGCCATACTAGTCAAGGAGGCAATATATTTTCATAAATTGTTTGATTTTATGATCACTCTACTTGTTTTATTGGACCAATTCGAATTTTCATGTATTTGAAATATTTATATTTTATTTTATTTCTCATATTTTTATTCCAGTTGTACTAGGACAAGTCATTAATTTATGCAATAGTAATTTTTTTTGCTCCAAAGACTTTTCAATGTTGTCTAGGCTTGCAATATGACTTTATTTTATACTTTTTGATTTATTGAATAAGAATTATTTTTGTGTGTGTAATTTTTATATTGAAAGGCTTAATGACTGCTTTTTGGTAAAACTTGCTGGCTAATTCTCAGAGCTTTGTTGAGTTATTAGTTATCTTTTCTCTCGATACAAATTTCTCCTTTGCAAAACCCACCTTTGATTATATATATGTGTCACATTTGACATAATTTGAAATATCTCAAAATCTAAACTTTCACGAAATTTAACAAATTGTATATTTGTATGTTATTGAGTTCTACTTGTTAAAAGGAGCATTTTTTTATATATAGCATCATATGTCTAAATCTGAAGGA